AAGGCAAAACGACGACTCCTTCATGGCTGGGTGAGAATCCGGTTTCCTTAACGTCGACTAAAAAGAGTGATTTTGGATACTTTGTTCTGAAAGAAGCAGGATTTAGCCCGGAGCTGGGAATCCCTGGTTCCACCGGGGGGTTTCCCTTTCGCGGAGCCGCTCTTTGAATCCCGTTAATCCTCACCCCAAAAAACCCCACGCCCTCCCCCAAGTAACGCCACCAACTTTTCTCAAAAAAACTTGGGGATTTAGATATTGGAGAGCTTTAAAATACTTATTATTCAATTCCACCCCCAAAAAAACCCACCCAAGTCCCTCGGAAGCTCAGAGAGACTTCGTTTTCCTCCTTTTCATAGTAAAAAAAGCTTAAAAATACAGATTTAAAGCAGAATGAAACCCTCTCTCCGGCACTGCCGGGGACAGATTTCTCCCCCTGCTTGTTGTTTTGGCCAAAGTCAAGACAATTCACCCCAGAATTGATGACAGACGGCGTGTGACAAGCCAGGAGGTGACACAAACCCCTCCTAACACCATCATATGTCCCTTTTCTGTCGCTTTTTGGGGGGGATTTGGGCTTTGGGGAACCCCCCCCTCAATGAGAGGGGGATTTGGGGACACACACACTCTCTCAACGTCACTTTAAGGAGGAGGAAATAGTATTTTACACAAAATTTATTTCCCAAAGAGGGAAATAACGGGGCTGGAAATGCCTTTTCTCAGCCCCAAAAATCCAGGGAACTTTCAAATTAAGCATTTTAATGGCACCTCAAATCCCACGGGTTTCACCCCATTTTTCTTCCTTCTGGAGGGAGCGCTCGGGGTGTGTGAGTGTGTGTGTGTGTGTTACGGTAAATTATCTTCCTGCAAATAAATGGTTGACATTCCTGAACCGGGTCCAGACGCCCTTCGCCGGGAGATAATTCCCAACCGATAAAAAGTTGACTTTGGGGGAGAAATCGTTCCAAAATACGGACAAAAAACCAGCAGCAAGGCGGGGGGGGGGCGTCGGGTGACGTCAATTTGATGTCACACCCCCCCCCCCTCCACCCGAGCTTCAAAAGAGGGAAAATAACTTCAGAAGAAGTTATGAAGTTTATTTAATCATTGAAGAAGTTATGAAGTTTCTTTAAACGTCCGGAGGGGTGGTCTGTTGGGGGGTGGGATCCATCCCTCCTGTCCCCCACCCAAAGCACAAGCTTTCCCTTTTTTCCCCTCTTAAAACAGACCCGGGATTTGAGCTAATTACCACCCCACGGTAATTAATAGCCAGTCGTCAGCGCGGGATCATCAGATAAGGCGGCAGCAACGACAGTTATTCGGCTCCCAGCGCTTAATGTAGTCAGAGGGGGAAAAAATAAGCAGGAAAGTCGTGTTTTGCCATTTTAAAGGAGTTATTTTTTAAAAAGCATGTTTTCCCCCAGCTCTGTGGCGGTTATTTCCAGTCACCGGCCCCCTTTTCTTCCACTTCAACGGGGAGGAAAATTCAAATATTCCCTTTTTTCTCCTATTTTACACCGCGGAGGGGACCCTCCTGCAACACCAGGGAAGGGCCCAGGGCGACCTGTAACTCCTTAAATTGAATATTAGAACCTGGCGGGGAGATAAATTCTATTTACATTAATCTGACATTAGCAATAATCCCACCAACGATTAATTACTAGCGCAGTAAAAGTTACAGCAATATTTTGTAAGTGCCTGCCAGGTGGAAAAAAGGTCAATATTTTGGTGGCCCAAAGCACTTCCCTTATGATTTTATTTTATTCCCTAAAGCTTTGCTGCCAGAAGCTTAAAGCCAAGCATTTGGGCTTCGCCCGAAATTGCTGTGGCCCAAAGAGGGGGGAAAACCCAAACCTCCTTAAAAAAAATAAAATACAGTGTTTTAAAATCAACCAAACAAGCCCCAAAACTGTGATGGAGGATGCAAATCTGAAAAAAAAATAAACAACCCCAGGAGGGTGATAGTCCCTTCGCAGCTCGACCCGGCAACACAAATTCCTTCCCCACTTAATTACTGAAAATTCACTGTGTTTATTAACACACCTTGTCCCCCCCCAACCGACGGCGCTGCCTTTATTTATCCTTAACCAC